TAAAGGTAACAAAAAAAAACTTGTAGCCCATCACAAAAGAAATTTAATGACCACTGCATGGTTGTAAGAGCAATATAAAATTGCATCATTGTTTTGGTAAGAAATACAAACTGATTTTGATTTAGCTCCACATCCTATTTTTGCTTCAACTGATTTGCTTCTACACTTTCAAAACCAAAAGTCTTTCATTTCATCTGGTAGCCATAAGAATGGAATTCCAGACCAAAGAATGTCTGCTTGAATTTGTAAACTCCATTTGATTCCTTTCCAGTCTTTGTGGGATTATTTAATAAACAGAAGTGAAAAGTGGCTTCATATCAAGCCACTTGCAACAGTCTCAGATCGTAGAAAATATCTATTCACATCTTTCAAATTGGCATTATTGGGTACTAGCCTGTAGATGTCAAACTATCAATGAAGCCAGTTAAAGGTACATTATTATTTGAGAAACAGGATCTAAGACGAGAATAAATTATTGCCCTGTAGTAATTTTCAGAATTTTTTAGACCCATTATGGTAGTCTGGTAGGGCTTTGTGAAAATACAAAACATGTTATTAAATAAACCACTAGTAAACCTTTCTCCACAAGTAAAATTCCAAAGGATAGTCGATAAGAGCTTCTGAACCTAGCTAACCCACATAGTAGTTGTCTTTTTTACACATTGATTCAAATTCTAGAATATGTTAGGAGAACATGGTTCAGAAAATGTACTCCTTAATTATAATTGTTCATTCAGATACATATTTTATGTATTTTCCTCATTTCAGGCTTAACCTTCATATAAGATTGTTTTAGGTCTTTCACAAATATTACACCTTAAATTACTTTGTTTGATAATGGGTTAATATGTTGAGTAAACGCAGCCATTGTAGGTTATTTAACAAACCATGGTTTAAACAAATATCTTAGAGTATATCACCACAGGCAAATTAGCCACAAACTTTTTCAAGAAAAGTATCATTAGAGTCTCTTTAGAGCATAATTAAGCATAATTAAGGTTCTCTTTTTCTCTACACATTTATAGTTATTAGAGATATATTTAAACTTCTGTTTTTTTCCTGAACAATATTTTACCTGTTTTGATTTCTCTGGAAGTTACATAGAAGCACTTCCTTGCTATTTAAAGATTTTTAAAAATGTTTCTCCAAGTTTCCCAGCAAAAGTTATTGTGTACCTCAGGTTTTATATAAGGGCCTCTGACCAATTAGAAGTCAGCAAGTAAATTTATGCTTATATGCCCTCCCCATATCCTACTGATACTTCTGGGAGAGGCAGCTGTGTAATCTCCACACTTGATTGTAAGCTTAATTGAGCAGACTTTTATCTAAACAAGTTGTTATTGGGCTGTTAATATTGTATGTACTGCATATAAGCATTTATACTTAGAAGTTATCAGCAAAGATGTGTAATTTGTGTGTCCATAGATGTTTACTGGAAGTATTTTTTTTTTATTGAAGTAGTAGTTTCAGTGAACCTTCAGAACAGACTAAACTTCGTAAAGAACAAAGGAACCATTAAAGTGGTTCTGGCTAATATGAGCAGGTGCAATATTTAACATTTTTAGAGGAGTGTTTCTCAACCTTAGAAACTTCAAGATGTGTGGAATGGATGGGAAATTCTGGGAGTTGAATTCTATACATCTTAAATTGGTAATATTGAGAAACACTGGTTTAGAGTATGGGAGGGAAGTGGTCTTGCCAATTCCTCAATTGCCTGCTCCAAGTCATTTACAACAACAGTATTACAAAATACGTATTTATCAGACGACAACGTGGTGCAGCTGCTCCTACAAGAGAAAAGGGGAAGAAAAAAACCTAATAGCTTAGTAATTGTGCTGGGCAGTAGTGGGTTTCAAATTTTTTTACTACCGGTTCTGTGGGCGTGGCTTGGTGGGCATGGCAGGGGAAGGATACTGTAAAATCTCCATTCCTACACCACTCCAGGGGAAGGATACTGCAAAATCCCAATTTCCTCCCAATCAGTTGGGACTTGGGAGGCAGAGAATAAATGTGGGTGGGGCCAATCAGAGGTGGTATTTTCCGGTTCTCCAAACTCCTCTTCCGCTACCGGTTGTCCAGAACTGGTCAGAACCTGCTGAAACCCACCTCTGGTGCTGGGAGATGTAACAATTCATTTACAGAATTTGGCATTCTTATTTGTATTTAATTTTCATGCTGCAAATCTTGCCTATGTGGTCACTCTTTTGGATTATAGTACTCATGATTCATAACACTGGTAAGTAAAGGTATATGAAAGGACTGCAGCTCATTATGTTTTATATTCAGAATGTAACATTTAGTTCAACATTTCCAAATGCATCTGAAGATTACAGTGTGAAACATGAGTGACCTCTGCCAATCAGGGAGTGTATTTGCACAAAATGGTCTCTGCATTCATTTGTTAGCATTTGAAAAGCACACTTCACTACCACATAGCCAGTTACATTTTAACCTACCATATTTTTCGGTGTATAAGACGCACCGGAGTATAAGATGCACCTTAATTTTGGGGCAGGAAAACAAGGAAAAAAGTATTTTACCTCTGCCTACCAGCATTTAAGGTGGCACCGCCCTCTTCCTCCTGCAAGCGAGAGGTGCAGGGACTACTCGCTTTTCCCCAAAGAGACCCCTAGCATGCTCTGGGGGGAGGGACAGAGCACAGCCTGAGGAACAACCCTTCTTTTTCGGGACAGTGTGGGGGCGGAGGAATCTGCCCAGCAGCTTTGGGGAACAAGGCGGGTGCCACGATTTGCGGCTGGTCACCCCTCTGGCCGCGCTGACTTCACTCCTCAGCAATGTGAGGAGCCGCTGCCGCCGCTACCTAACCCTCTCTGCGCCCAGGAGCCAAACCGAGCTGAATGGGAGCCTCTAAAGGGAAACGTTCCTCCTTTCCAGCCATCGCTGCCTGGATTCCAAAATGCAAACTCAAGAGTCGCGCTTCAGGTGGCGGCCAGTTCCCCTGCAATGTGCAGCGGGGAACTGGGAAGTGCTTTGGATTCGGGGAGGAGATTGTAGTGCTGACGCCTAAAAGTGTTTTTCTGCACATTGCAGAGCCGCGCGCCCCCATCCTCCTTCTCAGCACACTTCTTTCTTCCTGGCCAGTTCCGCTGCCTGAAACACGGTACAGTTTTTTTTGTCTCTGCACATACTCCATGTTTGGAATTGGGAAGGGGATCACAGGTTTGCCGCCCGAACCCGCGATTCCCTTCCCTGATTCTACTTGGCAAAAACACTCATTATCATTATGAGAACATGAGGACAAATCCCCTCATATTGCAAGGAAATATGCAAAATTTCCCACTATTAAATTATATGGCTAGAAAAATATTTTGCATATGTATTTACATGCCAGTGTGTTATATTTCTATAAATACCCAAGTGTACTGCATGCAATATAGCTCCTGCTGCAAATGAGCACTGAATGAGATTAACATTTTTTTGTCAGCTGTTAACATCTAGAAAGATTCCTGTGAAAAGTTCAAATACAATGCAGCCAGTTAGTTAGAACTGGTCTGGTTTCTTTTAAAATTACAGTGGCTGCAATAATCCACTAGAGGGCATTAACAAAGGAATAAAAAAATTGAACTAACAAAAATGCCCTAAAAACATTAGGCAAAAATATTTTTCACATATAATGAGTAATAATTAACAAACATTACTGAAGCTACCAATCCTTTAGATTATGACTATTTCAAATGTCCAATAGAATAAGCAAGTAAAATTCAACATCCATCGTTGCTTACTTCAAAGCTCTACCAGTCTTTAATTAAAAAAAAGTTTGTGGTTTATGCATGCAACATCACTAATGTAAATGTTTTTCAAAATACTGTCTACATAATTCTCTTAACAGGGAAGGAGACACACCCATGACAAGTCCATTTCACAATGTTAGTGTTATGGAAACCAATTGTGATGTCTTTTTAAAAATTGTATTCATTTTTGAGAAATGTTTATACCCACCAAAATGTGTATTTTTATCTGTGATGAACCTGCTTATGAAGCGATTTTTTCAGTATTGATTTAAAAGTCTATTATTTGGAGCAAAATATCCCTTTTTCAAATAAAATCAGCCATTCTTTGCAAGGTATAATAAACAATTGCCTATTATTTAACTCCAATTAATTTGCAGTCTTCAACTTACAATTGAGCCCAAAATTTGTTGCTGAGCAAGAAAGTGGGCTTTGCCCCATTTTATGCCTTTTTTTTGTCCCATTTTAGAGCATTGCAATTGTCATAAATACATGCCAGTTGCTAAATGCCCGAATTTTGATCATGTAATCATGGGTTTGCTGCAACAGTTGTGTGAAAAAGTCACAAGTCACTTTTTCAGTCTGCTGTAACTTCCAGCTACTATTATTAGTTGACTTAAAGTGAAAAAAGTGACTATGACTTTTTCACACAACTGTTGCAACCTCCCCATGATCAAAGAATATACTGTACTCTAGAGACTTCAGAAAAAAAGCTCAGGAAGTTTTTTAAAAAACAATTTCTTTAAACTATCTCAGGATAGTTTTAAAAAAAGGAAAAAATGGGTTTAGATTACAATGCGCAACAGATCTAGTGCCTTTTTTTAAAGTTAAAACTGTCCATCATAGAAATTATTTCAGGACAGAAGAATTAAATACCCAAGAATCAGATTATTTTTTTGATCCCAGTATATATACATATGTGTGTGTGTGTGTGTGTGTGTGTGTTGTATTTAGTCCAGTGATGGTTAACCTTTTCGGCACAGAGTGACAAAACTGGAGGGTGCACTGGTGCACTGGAACTCGGAAGAGCAACTGGTGACAATGCACATGCCCAGAGAGGGTTCTGTATGCCACTTCGTGCACGTATGCCATAGGTTCGCCATCACAGATTCAGTCTATTTAATTATACAAACCATTGCAAATTTATAAACCAGAGAATTTTGTATTGATATCTTGATCACCACTTTCCTTTCTTAAAACTTGTAAGCTAGACTTCTCAAATCTTCATGATAAAGTCACTATCACAACTAGTAATGATAAAAACTTAACAGCTTTTATTGATACATGTAACAATCATTTAAGCATCAGCAATAGTAACTTCAACTTCAACTCCAGGTTCAATGCTGATAGAAGTTATCTGTTTGACAATCTCTGAAGGACTGTGTAAATCAATGAGGCGCTTATGTATACGCATTTGGAAACGATCCCAAGTTTTGGAACCTTCACCACATGGTGTTTTTCTTGTAGTGATTCGCAGAGTCTAAAATGTAAGCAAAAAGACGTATTCAATAACCAAACTATTTCTAATACAATTTAATAATTTGATATATAGGAAAAAAATAAACCTTCCACAAATTAAGTACCTTAGTAGGCATGCGAACAGGCCCTTTCACTTTTAGATTTTTTTCTTTAGCACCTCTGATGAGATCTGCACAAACTGTAAAAAAGCAAGAATTTTAACTAAATGTTACATACAGATCACTTTAGCATTGCTTTGGATGTTGGCTCAGAATAGCGTATAAATTTATCATAGTAATTCAATTAAGCCTTTGTCCTCATTGCCAACTATATAGTAACACTAATATAACCAATGTAGAACATTTTATTTCTCTATCAATAAAAATACAAAGCCCAAACACATCATGCTACTTTATATATGATTCAATAATACAAAATATATGAGCCAATAAAAATTATTCTGAGACCTCTATGTCTATGTAAGAACACACAAGCTTGGACAAAACCATGTAAACTACTACCACCCATTTAAAAATGTTTGTTCTATTTTGTGACATACCCTTTTCAAGAGACTTCACATTGCGACTTGTCAAAGTAATTCTGATTCGATGAATTGCTACTTCTTGTTCCACAGGTGCCTTCCCAGTATCTTTAAATGCCTATAACAAACCACCAAAGTGAAAATTAGCAACTCAGCTATTAGCAACAGCAAACTATTTCTGGAACGCTTCCCGCCCCCCAAAAAAAGAAATTGTGGACGAAACTGTTCAATTCTTGGCTTACTTACACATTAGGAACTGTAGAATAATAGGCAGACCTTACTATCAAAGAAAGCTAGAAAAACCTTTCAAAAAGAGGTTTATCAGCCTTTTGTGATTTGTTGAGAAGGGTAATACGCTGCTTCACACAACAAGAGAAATGACATCTTAGTATATAAATATTTGCCTGTGCTCTTTTGATGAGCATCTGCAATAAAACTTTTTCCTAGACTGTTTAGCAGTCTGTGCATTCCTTGAAGAACAGGTTGCCCTTATCCATTGAAGGATGCTCAGTTTGCTTATACTAAGAGGAAGTCATAACTGAGGAACTGTTTTAATCAGGCACAATCAAAATTATGCAATTTTGAACTAATTAAGCAATGTGAACTACATTGACTGTAATATACAAATCTGTCATAATGCACTGAATTATTTTTTGAACAATAATTTTAGCCAGAATTGTGAAATCCATCTATTATCTTATAACAAGGTTCTATGTTGTCAAATACAAACATTGAAGTTTTACCTTTAAACTTTTAAATTAAGGAACAATAATTTGACAGGATTGTAATGACGTGATACTTCTGAGAAATCGGAACACATCCTGAAACCTTGAAATAACACCCAATGAAAAATAGGTTGAGATCTATGTCTCCTTCGTACTCTGTCCTTTCTCTTCTTAGTGGTCGTGAAGCCCTACTATGAAGTATTTAGGTAGCCCGTTCCCACGCGTTTTACTGGACCAGAGGTCTTCAAATTTGGAGGCTTTAAGACTTGTGGACTTCAACTCCCAGAATTCTCCAGCCAGCATAGCTTGTGGACTTCAACTCCACAGCATACCTTGTGGACCAACTCCCAGAATTCTCCAGCCAGCATAGCTGGCTGGAGAATTCTGGCAGTTGAAGTCCACAAGTCTTAAACCTGCCAAGTTTGAAGACTTCTGTACTGGACCATCTGCTGAGACCTTTCCGACCTGCGCGGGACTTCAAAACCCAGTGGCGAAAAAGTCGCCTCGGATCACAAAAGACAAGCATAGGAATAGCTAATAACAAGACTTCGCCCTTTTTCCTCTCCAACGAACAGGCTTGCCTTGCTCCAGTTTCTGAGTCAGGAAGCGCCTTTGGGCTGCCAGAGAAAGGCACGAGCCGCCAGCGAGCACGGCGCAGGCGCAGGCAGGCGGCCTAAGAGTTCTCGTGCCGCTCGAGTTCGTACATCCTCTCCGGTCTACCCCAGCCCAGCCCTCGGCGCAGGGCTCTCCCCTTCCTCCTCTCACCATAGTTGCCGCGAAACCTTCCTGACCGACTTAATCCCGGCCGAAGTGAGCACCAGAGGCCCAGGGAACAGCGGTGAGTCAGGAAACAAAGAAGGAACCGCAGCACAGACAACCGCCCAAAGGAAGCACGCTCTCAAGGGGCATCTTTATATAGTCTGAGGGAGAACCATTCCCCGCCTCTTTGCCCTTTGTACCGGAACTGATATCGTTAGGCCCAGAAACGTAGTGGGTAGTGGAAGATCTGTAGGCGTAGCCTCAGAGAGAGCGGCCGCTCCTATTGGTGCCGGAAAACAGCGAAGGCTGTTTTTTTTGGGAGGGAGGGGTCTCTTTCGCCTTGGCGGGAGAGAAGCGTTGTCTGGAGATGGTGGCGTTCTCTCCTGTCACTTTTTAAAATTATTTTGGAGGAGAGTAAAACTGCGTCAAAATAGGCTATATTAGCCGTTAGGAAATCTCTCCGCAGCCACTAATTCGAGTAATTGTGTCAAGTACCTCAGTGGTTTCTCAATCTCAATCAAGTTTAAAGATGTGTGTACTTCAACCCCCAAGACTTCAATCCTGGAAGTTGGAGTCCATTCATCTTAAACTTGATTGATGTTAAGAAACACCGATTAGACCTTAATGTCCACCAAGGAAGCTACAGAACAGAATAGAGAATTGAATTGAATTGAATTCTTTATTGGCCAAGTGTGATTGGGCACACAAGGAATTTGTCTTTGGTGCATATGCTCTCTGTACATAAAAAGACAAGATACACTCGTTAAGAATCATAAGATACAACACTTAATGATAGTCATAGGGTACAAATAAGCAATCAAATCATATTAGGAAACAAATCGTAAGGATACGAGCAACAAAGTTACAGTCATGCAGTCATAAGTGGGAGGAGATGGGTGATGGGAACGATGAGAAGATTAATAGTAGTGCAGACTTAGTAAATAGTTTGACAGTGTTGAGGGAATTATTTGTTTAGCAGAGTGATGGCTTTCGGGAAAAACTGTCCTTGTGTGCAGTGCTCTATAGCGTCTAGGACCCGGATTGTGGGGGCAATAAGCTGACTGTATAAAAAAGAACACCACTTGGGGGGCCGAAAACCCGACTAAGCAGGTACATACAAAAGTATGAAGGCTATTGCTTAACACATTGTAAGCCGCCCTGAGTCTCCGGAGAAGGGCGGCATATAAATCGAACCAATAAATAAATAAATAAATAAATGGCTCCGTAACAAAAACAAAATCTTATGATTCTTTAGAATATTACAATTTCTCCTTAAATGTATAGATAGCTTCAACTTTGTCAAAGGTTTAGAGGACAAATAAAGTAGGCTTTTCAATTTCAGTTGATGGGAAACCTTTTGTTTTCATAATATCATAGGTAATATTGAAGCAAAATTGATAACCAACTGTTCAGTATTGTAAATTTAAATTTGTTCCAATAAATGGCTAATGACAACAAAAATGAGGTATACAATCCCTGAACAAAATCACTATTTTTGCAAGAGATATTGTCATATAATTTGGTGGCCTAGAGATGAAGATGCTTGCCTCCTACTTGCAAGGTTGAGAGTAGGTACCAGCAGATATTTCTTTCCTAGGGTGCAAGAAAAAAAAATCTGCGAATTCCATGTTAACCATAATACCATGTGAACTATAAGAAATTCAGTATACATGTGACTTCACACACAGAGTGTGAGAAAGTACAATAGTGCTATCTCAGTGCAGAAGTGAGATGACAGGACATGGAGAAACAGAGTAGAATTCTTGTTCAAGGAATAGTATACACAAAAGGTCTACAACCCAGAATAGAAACAGATTGCTTTTGCAAAACAACTTTTTTTAAAAAAAGTTTGGTGTTTCAACAACCTTAGCCAATTAGCAAGAAATTAATATTATTTACCTAAATGAAAACAGGTTGGAAAATATCCTAGGAATATAGGAGAACATGATGTTATCTAGACTGTACCATGATATTTTCCAAAAGGTGGCAATGACAAATCAGTTTCACAGTGTTGCCAAGAAAATTTTATGGATGTGTCTGTGAAGTCATCAAAAGTTGAGCTAGGTTAAAGACTTACCTTATAATACAGTAGATGCTTAGCAGCTAAATTTACTGAAGTAACATGAAATACAGCTGAGTGTCTTTTTAAAAAAAGTTTCTAAGCTGAGATTGAAGAATTCTACTGTAGATTTTAAATAAGAACACAGATGCAGTGGAAATAAGAGAAAATTGGTGGAATGATGAGAAATATTGAATTGTGGATAAACTAATGAAATGGGGGTTAATTGCTATGTATGTCAACGAGCAGAGTATGGTATAAAAATATTCATATAGTGTTCTATTAGAGAACATAGAAAATCAGCTTCTGGGTAACATCTAGTCATTCCATTTAGGTGTGGGAATAATTATAAAGAGAATGTAAGGAAGACTAACTTGATGGATATATGCAGAATACATTGCCTAAGTCAAATTAATGTGTAAGCTGCTCAGGCAGCTGCTCTCTCATTGAAGAATGAGGATGAAGAGGAACAGCACAATCAGATTTGCAAGATTTTTTTTAATAGTCAGTTTCTAACCTTCCTATGGAATTTCCTGGCCTGACCTGGGGCTGATATGATAACAATCAGATACAGGAATATTTTTCTTTATGTGCTATTTATGTATATGTTTACATATGTAAGTACATGTTAGCTAAGGGATAATCACTTTATAAGCTGGAAAAAATCGGGTAAGGTGGAAGTCTTATTTCATTATTCAAAAACCTTTATTTTCATGTATTTATAGAACATGTTGTATAGCAAGTTATCCAATATTTTATTTTTCTAAAATTTATCATAGGACAATTTTAGATATGGAAGGGGAATGGCATTTTTTTCAGTAGATACTGAGTTGGAAAATTGTCAGCAAAAATTCAAGTGTGTTAGCTGTTCTCTGATTTTTTTAGCCACTATTTAGTGATTAAACTGTAGCTGCTATTTAAAATATCTGAAATACAGATTTCAGAAAGCCATACTATTGTAAAGACTGTTCTTAATATAACAATTGGAATTGTAACTATTCAATTCTATCAGTTTTGTAAAAATACAATCTATAACATTAGATGTTGACGTACTATAAAAATGGACATTTCTGCCTAAGCAGAAAACGCTGGAGACATCATTTTCTTGGAGGACCACTCTGAACTGTGATCGTACTTGTTATTCATAGGGAGAAAGGATTAAAGAAAAAGTCATATAATTAATCATATAATTGATCAAAAATTCAATAGTCATAAATTCATATTTAAATGATTCTTCATTGTTATTCTGTTCTTAGTTGGCCAAATTATTTATATTGCTAAATAAGTTATTAAGTATAATCAATAAAAGTTAGGCTAAATAGATTAAGGGCATTTTTGGTTTATCTTATTTCTTGATGCTTTGTAATTCTAATTTAAAATCAAAAATCTTATTGTTCAAAATTTTAAAAACATCAAATTATAATGCACATTATATTAAAAAGAAGAGGAGTAGGAGCAGATATTTTCTTCAACATTTGGCTTAGAGCTTTGTATAGATATGCATCACAAACCAAACTCCAGTTTTATTTTTAACATTTTTACAAAATAATACAGACTATCAGTCTAAATTTATTTATTTTATTAAAAGTAATTTCCATAATTTCAGTGAAATTTAAACTACAAGTATACATAGTATTAGATTAGCATTTGTTCTCTGAAATAAGTCACAATAAGTATGCTGCCTTTGAAGTATATTTAGAATTGCAGATTTTCTTTTCAAATGAACAAAACCTTTTGTAACTTTTTGGAACAGTTGACAAATATTTTTTAGAAAGTTTACAATTTATTTAGGCAGAAAGTATAGGAAGTAACTTCTTTTAAAAGATCAGTAAAATAATATACACTTGATTAATTAATGAGACCAATAACTTAACTATAAGAACAAATTCTTGCATTTATTATATGGAAGAGGGCATCGAAGGAAGAGAAATAATATATGTGAACTAAGAATTTCTACAACAGCTTCCTTCCCAATTTCCATGGTAGAACTGAATGAACACCATACTGCAGAAATTGTCTCAGAAAATATATACAAAAACTGCAGTTAAATATCTTTCTTATTTATGGTTTTCAATTCATACACAAATGAACACTACCATATTTAAAGTTACATATATATTCTTTACATATTTTGAATGGCAGTAATTCAAAAAGAGTCAACATTTTATTGATAAGCCATATAATGTTTAATGAGGCAGGGAGAATAGCACATCATAATTTGTCCGAGGTTCACAGCACAAATTTTTGGATTCTTTGTTTTATTGCGGTGTTAAGAGGTAAATGCATCTTTCGAAAATAAATAATTAAGAAACTGAATACTGTAAATCCTAACAAGCAGAAAAAAACTTGTCACTTTTTTTTTATAAAGACCCTCATGTCTTAGAGCATATTTATTTAAATATATATATATATTTCTGGAAAGCATCAAAGTTAAGATCAATAACACACTTTAGCTAGGACAAAGATAATAATACAGATAGCAAATGATAAGACAAAATCTGTTTATACTGCTACAGGCAAGCAATGAAGATCGTGAAGGAGACATTCTGCACTAGGACGCTTGGCTACATCAGCTCCCCAACAGCTTTCAATTATTGTCTCAAGTTGTTGGCCAGTGGCTGAACCTTTAAACACAGCTGCATTTAGAGAGGGGCGCAGGTTACATGCTACCACAGAGTAAAGTATATACTGGCGCTCACCCAGATAAGGCTCTTGCTGTGTTACCATTTGCCAGAGAATAATAGCAAAAGAATAGATATCTGCCTTGGGTGTGATTTTCTCACCTTTAAGAAGTTCAGGAGCACGATGTGTGTATGTTCCCCCTTGATGACAAAGATGTAGTCCTGAAGATTTGCTATTTTCTAGCTTTTGGGAGCATCCAAAGTCTCCAATCTTACAAACATTATGTTCTGTTATGAATATGTTAGCAGGTTTTAAATCCAGATGCACGATTAACTGAGAATGGAGAAATATTAATCCTGCCACAATATCACAGGAGTAAATGACAGCCTGAGCTGTACTCAAAAACCCATGGTCACATTTAAGGCCATCATTATTTCCTGTTAAATAACCAGTCCCATAGATAACATGATGTAGAGTGCAATT